TATAGGAGATGTATCCTGGCTCTTACGCGTGTCAGCCTCGGCTGATGATCGTGATGATGAATATCTCGGTCTCCCTCCCATTGCAGCAAATGAACCGATATTGTGTCTTATATGGGAACAGATTGCTATTCTTTATACAGGTTCGTTAGAAGAACGATCAGATGCTTCTGCTTCGTTGGTTTCTTTGGCTCGGGACAATGATCGATATGGTAAGCTGATCATAGAGGAAGGAGGGATCCCTCCATTATTGAAGTTGGCTAAGGAAGGGAAAATAGAGGGTCAGGAAAATGCAGCAAGGGCAATTGGGTTGCTGGGACGTGACCCGGAAAGTGTTGAACAGATTGTGAATGCGGGTGTTTGCTCAGTGTTTGCGAAAATCCTCAAAGAAGGTCACATGAAGGTTCAATCTGTTGTGGCTTGGGCTGTATCAGAATTAGCTGCACATCACCCCAAATGCCAGGACCATTTTTCACAGAATAATATAATTCGGTTTCTCGTCAGTCATCTCGCCTTTGAGACCGTTCAAGAACATAGTAAGTATGCCATTGCAAGTAAGCAAACGATGTCTATTCATTCGGTTGTTATGGCTAGTAATACTCCAGAGCAAACTAATAAAAAGGAGCATGAAGATGATGATAAGCAAATTAATAGTAATATAGCTCACCCTATGGATAATCAAATAACTAGCCAGATGCACAATGTAATTACTGACACTATCGCTATGAGAAGGCAGACTCCTGACAGTTCAAGGCCAACTCTACCAAAAAATAATTCTCCGAATCACCATCATGTTAACCATCCCAAAGGCAACCAGCAAAATGCCAAGCCGCACCAACATCATCATCAGCACCATGCACATCATGTCTCATTATCTGGAACTAGCATTAAGGGAAGGGAATTCGAAGACCCAGCCACCAAAGCACAAATGAAGGCAATGGCAGCAAGAGCTCTCTGGCAGCTTTGCAAGGGAAATCTTGGTATATGTCGTAGCATAACGGAATCAAGAGCTCTCTTGTGCTTTGCAAGTTTGTTAGAGAAGGGCGCTGATGAAGTACAGTCCTATTCAGCCATGGCATTGATGGAAATATCAGCTGTAGCTGAGCAAAATGCTGACTTGAGACGCTCTGCTTTCAAGCCTACTTCCCCTGCTGCTAGAGCTGTTGTGGAGCAGTTACTCAAAGTCATAGAAAAGGCAGACTCAGACCTCCTTGTGCCTTGCATCAAAGCTATTGGAAACTTGGCCAGGACTTTCCGAGCGACTGAAACTAGGATTATTGGGCCATTGGTGAAACTGCTTGATGAAAGGGAAGCAGATATTTCGATGGAGGCTGCCATTGCACTTAACAAGTTCGCCACAACTGAAAACTACCTCCACGTTAATCATTCAAAAGCCATCATCAGTGCAGGAGGCGCCAAGCATTTAATTCAACTGGTTTACTTTGGTGAACAAATGGTTCAGTTTCCTTCATTGACCCTGCTGTGTTACATTGCCTTGAATGTTCCTGACAGTGAGACACTTGCACAAGAAGAGGTGCTTATAGTACTCGAGTGGGCATCAAAGCAAGCTCATCTCTCTGAAGATCCTGACATTGATTCTCTATTACCAGAAGCCAAAAGTAGATTGGAACTTTATCAATCTAGGGGTTCAAGAGGATTCCATTAACTTTGTATCTTTGTGCAGGATTGTCTGACAATATTTTCACTCTTGTAAGTTTTATTTACCCTGATGAAGTGTATATAAATTAGTATTGATGTCGACACTGCTATGGTAGCCATGTAGGAGACAATTATTGCCTATAGTTCATGCTTCTTACCATTACTCTTCGCTTTCTCTTTTTTTAGTCTTATATGCTATCTTAATTTGCTGGTATCGACTGATATCAGCTTGGCATTGGCTTTGAAATCTTGCTGTTAGCAGTACGTGTTGCTTGGCTTTAGTAGCATTGCTCTTTAAACGGGATTGTTGCTGGCAAACCCTGTCTAGCTGGGTCATAACCGCGTCAATCTCAGGCCTAATTCTTAACAGCTGAGATTTCTCAAAGATATGGTCTGTAATCTCATTATTGTTACTATTTCATCCTGTTCAATGATTTCTTTGCCAAATTGGATGGTGGTAGTGAATGATTTAGAAACTAGACCATTACTGAGAGCACATTTTACATGATGGTATAATTTAATTGAAACAATTTCAACGCTGCTTTTCCTGCTCCAATTTTTCTTGCTCCTATTATTAACATCAATCAATGTTCATGAGCATGAGAAGAGGACCCTTCCTTTCTATGTTTTTGAAATTGGAATTCCTTTAACAACCCCATACAGGACCTTCAATAATTCAATATGTGTCGGGTCACTGTAGAATCAGTTCTATTCAGCCATGAATAAAGTTTCCCGTTTTGAGGAACTGCTCCTGGGTCAATGAACCAGAGCATGTCAGCCAAATTTGTCAATCACTCTAATGTGGGTCATGCTGAACCCACGCTGCATTAATTATTGGAAGACATTAGTCCCTTATACATTTTATGCGAGACGAAAATTTCATGATGATTAATGGAAAATTTACATGTGCATGATAACAAAAGAAGTTGGAACTTTTTCAAGTTCCCCATGCATATGCAAATAAAGTACCCGTTTTCCGTTTTTAAATTTGGTTTTTGATTAGATAGATGAAGCTGGGTTGTTACATTTTGGATAAAATCTAATCGGATAAAACATTCAAGTATTTCCTTAGGTTCCATTCTGGATTTTTTACAACTTAACATTCTACGTCAGATAGGATCATATCAGAGCTCGGCTAGAATAGCTTAAAAAACAACACTCGGATTCCCTAGTTCGAATAGCTGAAAAGATGTTCATTAAACCGCCGGAAACACGTGAAAAAGGATTGCTCAACAGCTTTGCTCCAAAAAAAAAACCATGTAGTATTGTTTAGAGCATTGAGCCGCCACCAAGATTCCTCATCGCAAGCTATTCACAAGTAAGAATTTTAAATACACGAGGTAAGCTTTTGCCATGTTTGGTCAACCTCTCCTGGGTGCTGTCTGGCCTATGAAATGATGGTTCAACGGTACATTCTGGATGGTTTACCTGAAGCGAAAAAGGCCCAATTTGGACTCGAGTCCTTCAAAAGCCTTGAAGAAAAAAAGTGGGTTTGGGCAAAAGAATGAAACTGTAAGCTGAACCAAGAGCCTGCAAACTTTTTAAAAAACATGGTTCCAAAACTTCTGGGCTTTCTGGTCCCAATGTCCATAATTGAGGTCCCTGATTATACAAGCTTTCAATGTTTTCTGGTTACGAATTTCGTTCTGTTACAACTTCTTCGGACTACCAAGGACCTGACTGATTTTGTTTGGTCTGGAAATTGAAAACTTTGAATTGGCAACTGGACAGGAAAGCCGAACGGGCCGCTCGCGAGGAACAAAAATGCTTTCTGACAGCGTACAGGCTGCGCATGAATGACAGGAGTACGTTTACTTAATCACTAGGTCGATGAAAGGAAGAAAAAGAGGGAGTTAGCAGAGTTGAATCAAACTTACCATCAATCCATGTTAAACACAGAAAATTCATTTTCCTGCCATTGAAAAACCTCTTTGAATACTCGTGAAGTGCTGATGGGTCAGTGCACCTCTCTCTCCCCCGGGCCCCGCCATTGCCAATTTTGGGAAACCTTTGTTTGGCTTGGTTGCTTATTACCGCTAGGGATTAGTTCGTTCTTCTTTTTCCCAGTTGTGGAAACCGTCATTTACTTTGAAAGTACCATTTTTTTTCTCATTTTCTACTGCTAGTTTCGTGATCCGCTGCCAAACTCATTGTCTTTGGCGGATGCCACCATCTCCGCTTCGGCATTCGAGCCTTGAATAACTCAAAACGCAAGTTAGTATTAGTCAAAGCAAAGCAAATATTAATTATAATTCTCATTTTTTATTTAAACTTTCCTCACAGAGTAGTTAAAAAATAAATATTAAAACAATTGCTCTACCAATCAATTGTACTCTTACCCCGACAGGTGCAACCGAATGTAACTGAGCCGGGTCGAGTCAATACTGTGCTAGGTTCGAGCTCAGTTCGATTAAGAAACTTGAAAACTGGCTTCAGTTGGAACTCCATTGAGTTTTATATTTTATGTTCTAGATTCATTAGATTAGATTTGATATAATTAATTTATATAAAAAATTTGAAATTTAAATTTGAATTCAGGTTCTAAGTGAAATTCAAATATAATTTTAAATTATGTAAATAAAAATTCTATTTTATCTATCTATAAGTATAATTTTAAAAACTCGGCAAAAGTCACAAATTAATGACAAATAATATTAATATATATCTAGTATTTATTTTATTAAAAAAATAAAAAAAGTTACAAATTAATCGGATTAATTAATGAGATCGTGAATGAGGCGTAGGAGCGAATTTTTCTTTTCGGGTTGAAAGGACAAACACTCCATTGAAAAGTCCCATCCCACACATGCCTCTCATACTGAGAGGATGTAGTTCTTCAATCATGACTTCCAATTTTACCCTTTGACCAGTCTTCCTTCTCTCTTATCAAAAAATTTATTAACTTAATTAATTATCACAATTTACAAGCTCCGTGCTGTTTGCAGCAAACAGCACGAGATAGACAGGATAGTCTTTTCATCAGATTTTTTTTTTACTGCGGGTCCCATCAACCTTGTCCTCTTTCACACCTGTCCTCTCTGGAGTCTGAACTCTTTCGTAATTTGACTCCGTCCGAAAACCATTATATTCCCGAAACACCCCTTCCATCGAAATATCTAACGGTCCATATTCCACTTGACCTAAATCCCCAGCCGTCCGATCACTTTCTCAGACAGAAAGCCGTCACTGGGATCCCCAAAATCGAAAACGGAGTAACAAACCGCGAAGTTCCCAAAACCCTCCTCATTTCAATTAATTAAAATTTTTATATTATTAATTCCTAACGCTGACGTGGCAGTCACACCATTTGCATTGCTCTGATCTGCAATATAAAGTCCCCACCTCGCCATTATTTTTGCGTCTCTGTGTTTTTCCTATCCTCCGAGCGTGGTGTGGGGGGTTTTGTTAGGGCTTATAGATCTGAAAAAGAGATGGGTGAGAGTAGGATGACTGGGAAAGTGAAGTGGTTCAGTGACCAAAAGGGGTTTGGGTTCATAACCCCAGATGAGGGCGGCGAGGATTTGTTTGTTCACCAGTCTTCGATCCGGTCCGAGGGTTTCCGTAGCCTCGCTGATGGTGAAGAGGTCGAGTTCGTTATCGAGTCTTCTGATGGTGGTCGCACCAAGGCTGTTGATGTTACTGGCCCCAACGGGAACCCTGTTCGTGGCACCACGAGATCCGGACGCGGTGGAGGCGGCGGCGGCGGCGGTGGTGGTGGTTGCTTTAAGTGTGGGGAGATGGGACATTTGGCAAGGGATTGTGGACAAGGTGGCGGCGGTGGCGGAGGGAGATACGGTGGAGGAGGAGGCGGCGGTGGTTCAGGGGCTTGTTATAACTGTGGAGGCTCTGGGCATTTCGCAAGGGAGTGTCCGAACAATGGTCGTTAAGGCGGAGAGGGGTTTACTGTGTCTTTTCACAATTCCTCTGACCCTTACTTTTTCCCCTTCGGTACTATTTCTGTCGGTTTCGTTATTATCAAGTATGGTTGGCTTTTTTATGTCGTTTTGTTTTTGAAGAAGGATTGTTCCTAGTCAGTTTGTGGGCTCTTGCTTCCTATGTTAGGTTTTTTGGTGTTTGGAAAAATGGTTGTAATGGGACCTTTAGGGTCACAGTGGAGTGGATTTAGAATTGCTAAATGAAAATGGTGAAGAAAACAATGATGTTAAAACCTCTCACTGTCATCAAGTGTTCATACACATATAATATAAATACAAGCTGGTTTGGTTCAATATCTTTTTCGTGTTTACTCTTTATATTACGTTTCCTATGGAAAAACTCGTTGGTTTGATTTTTACTAGGTTGTTTTTTTCAATAATTTGGGTGTAATCTGATCAAAGTACTTAGTCAAATACTTGGGATATATGTTAATATCTCTGTTCAAATATTATATTGCCTTTCCTGGAGGCAGTTGTCTGATTATGATTATTTAATTTTCCTTTTGGAGTGCGAGTACAAATTCTGAGTGAATCTTGGGGATTTATTGGCTCGGAGGGAGAAAATGAATTGAGGGGAAGGAGGGGTCATGGACTGGAAGGTGTGTTTATATGGTTGGTATATTGGGTTTGTGGGAATAAGTTGATGAAAGTGACATTTTCAGCGTGATGCCCTTCTTTCTTAGGTTTCTTTTGTTTGTTTCTTTTAGATGCGTAGGGACGGACTGCAGAGGGCTCCTGCTCTTTTTTCTTTATATTTGAAAAGCTTGGGACGATGGGACTCATTGGTGAATAAAGCACATGAATAATGCAACATAAAGCCACCCAATTATGGGGTGCTTCCTTGCCTTTTTTCTAGTCCCTTGGTGGTCCATTCCTCTCTGCTCTGACCCATTTCTGTGTTTTGAGCGTTCAGTTAATGCTTAATTCAATTTTGGTAATGTGTTTAACAGTCAATTAATAAAACGGTTCGTTGAGACAGGCTGGTGGTGTTTAATGCGTTCCTGGACTGTAAGATTGATTGTGGACCTCTATTGCTCCTTTAAAGATAAGAACAGGGTTGATTGGCTTTGTTGAGAAAAAGCAAGGGAAACTCAGGAACTTGTGTAGCTTTTACTTGCGGGGATGCAGGACTTGGGGTTTAACCATATTGCTTATTTTTGACACTCGCAGTGCCAAAGTTTCTTAGGAAGTGATAGCCAATGGCAGTGGGTAATGGTTTCTTATTGAGCAAATCTCACCGCCCTTTTTCCAAGAGTATTGGGCTTTGAAGTGGAAGCCTCATTGTTTAACAACGTAGATAATGTCTAAGTGAACAAGCAGTTTTGTGTGCGTGTGACGGGATGGAAGGTAAGATTTTTAACCTTTGGTTTGCTTGGAGGAGGATTGGGTTTGGATTGGCTTGGAAACTTATCCAAAAAATCCACTTACAGATTCGTAGAGGCCGATTATAATGACACCAATTGCCCTGGAAGGTGATTGATGTTTACAAAATTGGAGTCCAATTCGCCCAACTGGAATCTGATTTTCAAAGCACTGACAGCGTTGACTGAGCTCAATAACGAAGCGCACCATTATGGGTGTAGGCAGTCAAGTTTTTCATTTTCGTTTTTTCCATTTCCCTTAAAAAGGCGATTTGTTTGGTGAAGCCTCTGGCCCTGTTTATTCATTTTTAGGATGCATTACATTTCCTTTCATTTGAGTGTGGCCCATTGGCTGTTGTAACTCAACAATGGCCTTTTGTGTATGAGAATGGTCCACATCAGGGATCCACAATATGGAGAAGGAACAGTAGATGCGATTGAACACGAAACTTGATATGGACAAGATATTCAATCGCAACTCAAGGACATCAATCCCTCCCGTGGTGGGACACTGCTTCTTCCAAAATTTAGCTTGTCAGAGAAGATTTACAAACTCAAGAATCACCCATCGCGTAGTCCTAATACATACATACATATATATATATATATATATATAACCGACCATATGCTTATATTTAACATGTGAGGCAATAAATTTACGAGGAGAAGCTCCAATTTTGGAGTTATCGAAGATTACTTTTGTTTCTTTTGAGCTCATCAAGTGCTGGATGCGAGCCTGCCTGTTTGTGACTATATGAACGATGACGTGCTACGTGGAACCATGGTTCCGCCGAAGAGAATTGAGTTTCACTAGCAGATGGGGCTGAGATTTCAGTTTCCCGGGGGTTTTACTCACCGCTGTGGACCATCTCAATAGCGGCAGTGTTCTGGACAAGAGAAGGATCGAGGAGGTGTAGGTACAAAAGCCAAGAAAAAGGAATTCAATTTAAATTGACTTAATACATAATTTTTTTTTTGAATTATACATAATTATTTAAATAAATTTTTAATCTTTTTATTACATTTAAATAAAACTCTTAAACTTTTATTTTAAATAAAAATATTTTCAACTGAAAAATAACAATTAATATTTCTGGCCCACGTGACTTTTGACTGGCAACTAACATGTCTTAATGGTGGATGAAAGTTATTAGGTGGCAAAATGACATGTCATGGTGGTGAGTCCCATAGTCACCCGACATGGAAATCACAAAATAAGATTTTTTTAAAAAAAATTTCTCTCATTCTCGTCTTTCTGTTAAATAGAATAATATTTTGAAAATATCATTTTCTCTAAATCTATAGAAAATTGAAAATATAAAAACCTTATACCCACAATGTTTTCCTTTAATATTTGAAAAAAAAATTATATTTTTGAATAACTACGTCGTTCGAAAGAAAGATGAGAATGAGAGGAATCAGATTTTTTTTTTTTTTATGATTCCGCTACCTACTAATGATTGGCTATGGAAGATTTTACTCACCACGTCAAAAATTATATTGATAAAAAGGGATAATTGTCAGATGACAAGAAAAATAAGACTGCATTTTTGATAATTTTAAAATTTTATTTGAATTAAAATAAAAAAATTAATTTTTTTAAAAATAATAAAAAATAAAAATTTATTTAAATTATTTATAGTTCAGTAGCTTTTTTAAAATTTTATTTTTTTTCAAAATTCTCATGCCTTTTTTGGGTGTAAATATTTTTTATTTTTACAAATAAACCCATTCTTAAATGCATTTATTTATTTGCAACCACATAAAGTATGAAGAACTATTATAAAAATGAGAATATATTGCTTGGACACTTTTGGTTTAAGCAATTCTTTCTCTTTTCCTTTCTTTAATATTTTTGAATTAATCATCATAATAATCCTGGAATGATCTCGAAATTGTTAAAATTTCCTCAAAGAATTCGAAAGCCTTGAAGCATTGTCAGATTGTCATGTCTTGAACAAATGGAGGAGACTGGGAAAAAAGAAGAGAAAAAGAAAATTGTGTAGCAGGAGAAGAGCATGTCTCCGAACTTGATACCATTTGTCTTGTTGTCTGGCGAATAAAGAGCACCACTTTGTAACTGAAAAAGCATCGAGCCTTTAGTTTTTTTCCGGGGGTCGCATGCTCTTGAAAAGGGCATAAGGTCTTTCATAAAATGGAGGTTTGACAACTTTGTGTGACTGCTGCAACATCTCAGCTTTTCATGGCTGGAGGATTATTAAGATTCCCCACAGTGCCATTGGTGTATCTATGTCTACCAGCTTTATCCCCCAACATTTAAGCAACACCCTATCCCTTACGTCATTTTTACCTTCGTCTTTAATCATTTGTGCATGTTTGGTAAGCCTTTTTATGATTTATCATCACCTCATTTCTCATCATCATGGATAAACATAGATGGAAAAAAAAGGGAAGAAAAAGAAGCTTTAGAGGTTTCAACTATACATGCTTCTCCCTATGCTGCATGAAGCTGCTTTATAGCTTGAATTATCACTTTCAAGGTCCAAGCACCAACGCTCCTAGATATGGGGGGTGAAAGCAGGAAGAGTACTGTGGGATCAAAATAAAGATTTTCACCCTGATAATTTTGATTCCAAGGCCTGCTAATAATCTCCTTCATCAGTTCTAGCAGCTGGTTGAAGTATTGTAACTCGTACTAGGTTAATCCAGTTGCAAAGCAGTTTTTCAAATGGCGGCAATTCTGTGAATCGTTTTTGGCTGTTCTGGAACAGCTTAGTTGTCCTCAAGCAGGGATACATCATGAACATTCTTATATATGCTTGACACAACGAAAGATTTCAGGTTCTTCATGGTATAATCCCAATCGGAAATCATCTAGGCTTGTATCATTTGTTTCCTAATGAACACACCTTATTTTGGCTAGGCCTTTGAACAGAGAAAAGTACAGAGTGGAGAAGTAGATAAAAGAGACAAATCACTGCGAATCTAGTTGCAGCAGAATCGAATAGATCCAACCTTTATCAGTAGGTTTTGGACTCCATAATCTGTCATGTTCTAGTAAAGCAGATTCCACTTTTATGTTCTCTGTAATGTTTCATGTATGCTTGTTTCCACTCGATTTGCTAAATGTGTAATTTGGTCAATTGTCTTCACCACTTTCTAGTTTCTAAAATGAAATAAATCTCCAAATGCAGGATCAAATGTGCAAGGAAATGCTTGACATTAATCTTATATCATAAGAGACTGAACCATACCTAGGAGTAGAGATCTTCAATTTTTTCATACAAACTTTGTTTCCTTTTTTTTTTTTGTTTTTCTCTTGGAAATGCATTACAAACTCTCTAACCCAAATAAAAAAGACAGAGAAAGACTCAAAAAGGATGGCATTTGTGTATACAGGAATTGACTGGACTAGTCAAAGATAATTAATCTGATTCATGAACTTCCATTTAACTCCCAATTTTAATCTTCTCTGTCTACAGCCTGAAGAAACAAAGATGACCAAAGTGTGCAAATGACACGATGACATATTTATGGTTGTAGTTAAGCCATGAGGGGAAACCCTGTAAGTTGAGACGAATCAAGGGCTGCGAGTGTGGTTGAAAGGGTGGTGTAGAGGAGCAGCCGCGGTGGCGTTGAGGCCGTGAGGTGGTGGTAAAGCTGGCATTGCTGGCGGTGGGCATTGGTAACATTTTGTGAAGAGCCCGAATGTGTCAATCTGGTGAATGAAATTTGTCATGCTCGCCCACCCACCGAATCCAAACCCAACAATCAGCACCCAAACCACTACAAAGATGTTGATCGCGTACGTCCCCACCCATCTCCCGAAGTACTTCGGTGGTTGCTCCACTGCATTCTGCATCACAGCCGTCCATGAAATCCAGCATGTTAATAATCATAGATGAATCAATGGATCAAACGGTCAATATGAGCCCAAATCTCGTGTTTGCATCTCACTGTTTTCGTGGGACTCGCATTAATTAGGGACCTACATCTTTTTCCAAAGTTCTTTTTGGTACCAGAAGATGAACCGTATCAAGAAAAGACAAGCTTTCTGCAGTACCCCCCAGATATGGGGAATCAGGTACGAACATGAACGTATTCTGGTTCACAGTTGCAGCACGAATCTCGTGCCTCTTGCAACAAAAATTAATTCCTTTTTCATGAAATAAGCAAAGGCAGATAATATTACTAACTCACAATGATCAAAATGCTGTCAAAAGATGTTCAGTGTTAAATCTAGAAGATTATCAGCTTAGGAGAAAGACCCGGGACTGGTCTGCTAGACTGTGACCACACGCTATCACCCTGCATTTCTCATCCTCAACACTTGGGTTTTATTAAATCAACAGTTAATGACATCAATTTTTAATTCTCTCACTTCTTCAGTCAAAGGTTTGACTCTGACGTAAAGCAGAACTTCTCAGATGTCTTGACAATGACTTTTCTTACTCTGATTAGCTAAGCTTTGAGGTTTGTTTAATTCCTAGTTGATCGCTTTTTAGGATGATGGATGGGAGTGTAATACCTCTCGGGCAGTGGCTGATCTGAAGGTGAAGATGTGGGCCAGGGCAGGAATGATGTAGACAGTGAAGCTAACGAGGAGGGATCCTACGGTAGAGTTGATGGGTCCAAAGAATGGGAAAATGATGGCCAAGAACCAAATTGGAATGACCACCGGCAATCTTGCTGCTGCTCTCTTGCACAGGCTCTTGCACTCATGCATCCCGATTGCTTTCTCCCATACAAAATAAAGTGGCGTGCTTGCAAACCCAAATGTTATGAACTGCACAATGCCCACCAAAATTATCATCGTTAAAATGAACAATTATCAATGTAGGATATGCATGGATGTACTAAAAATTAACTTCTGTCAATATAATAATGAATGTATACATGTATGTAGGTATGTATGATACAAAAAATGAAGTCATAGGCATGCCTGGTGGATAAGCATTAAAATGACAGCCATGTCTCTGAAGGGAGTTCTTGGGAGAAGAGAAAAAGCATTTGAGTGATTGAGAAGCATGTCTCCAAATGCCCAATAGACAGCAGCAGCCGAGGGAAGTGTCAGTGTCAGCACATACAGTGTGGCTAGCAGGTATATAGCCTTGAACTTCTGAGGCTTCCACATTGCGTGCATGATCTCCCTGCAACAAAGTTAATTTCTTCATTAATTAGCAAACCACTTGGTAGTATTAACTATGTACATCATTTCTCTTGTACTACACTATTAATATCAGGGCCTGGAAAAGGTCTGCTCGAGGCAGATTAATATTGGGTTTTAAGGCCTTAAAGCCACCGCTTTCATCTCCATGAGCTTTACGGGCTTTTTTCCTGTCTGTGGGTTGTGTTGGATTCACTGAACAAAGTGGACCCCCCGCCCCTGACCCCTCCTCATGATAAAAGCGAAAGCAAAGGAAAAAAGATCATTGGCTTTTCTACATTGAAAAGGAATACTAGGGTTTCCAAGAAGGAAGCAACTTTTTGCCTTCCACGCCTACAAAGGGCAATTTGGGGAATGAAAAGCTCCAATAATAGTTTTGCCTATACACTGTATACTAATATGAATGAAAGATATGTCAAGCTTTAAAGTATTTGAGAGAATTATGTGCTTTTGGACATGGATTGGTCATTAGATCTCCAATGGTCAGATTATGTCTGAAGAAGTAAGGCTCTGGTCATTTTCACAACAGCTTTTTTGCATTTATAATTCTCCACAGCAGATTATCAGCAAAGACCCAAGGCACAAATACATTAACTACACAATTTATTGACTTGAAAAAACATGGGCAGGTTTGTAGATAACGTTAAAGACACGGATTCTATAGATAAACTTGTCTTACACAGTAACAGCATGTCCCCCAAATGTGTAGAGAATGTTTGTGGCCCCGGTGAAGTACAGCACCAGCTTGGTCGGACCAGAATGCCGGACTCCCTCTACCTACATTTACAGGATTAATATCATTGATTATATATTATACTCATAAGCTTTATTATAATAAAACTTATATCAGTTTGCAATATTCATTCTTGACAGGAAATGGGACAACCAGGTTATCTCCTTTGACTGATTTCAAACCCAGCATTTGTGGGCCAAGCTGGCCATATATATGCTCAAGATTTTCATGTACAAAAAAGAAGAAAAAATATTCAGGCATCAAATATATATATATATATATATCTTGGGAAAGTTGTCGAGTTGACAAGTAAATGTGCTGTCATATTGATATTAACTTGATTTTGAATTGGCTCAACTCCTTAAAGTAGCTAAAATCTTCACGTGTTTAACTGATAAGTGAGAGTTAGTCAATTACCTGGCCATGGAGGAGGGAGGCAATGGTGAGATACCATGCAGTGTAGGTGGTCATGACAAGGCCAAGAAAGGACCAGATTCTGTAATTGTGGAATGAAGGAATAAAGACTGTGGTGGCACAACAAGCCCCAAAGATGTAAGTCCAAGTCCGCTTGTCCAGATTATCATTTATGTAATATATGTTGCTGCAACGTCAAAACAAAAGATACCCAACAGCAGGGAGATGGTTTTGTCAGGGTGCCAGGAGATGATGATTCCTTATTTATTTGGAGCCAACAATTTTAAATTGTGGATACAGATAAAGCAAATATAAGAGTCCGAGATGAGTAGGTACCTTGCACAAGCTATGAGTTGAATGACAGATCCAAACAGAAGAAAAGTGCAGTTAAATGCCAAACCCACGTTCCTCCAGTGTTTTCCAAGGAGTCCATCAAGAACCTCAAACCACTGTACAATTAACAGAGAAAGTTAATATTTTGAGATTAGAGAAAGAGGAGTCGCTTTTCAACATTTTCTTTCATGAAGTTGTTTGTTTAGAGTTCAAAAGTTAATTAACCTGAATGACATGGTTCCTGAAATCAACTTTTTCTCTTTCTTTTCTTGTTCTGTATTCTACATAGAGTATGCTAATGAGATAAGCTGTCCAGCTACCCAGCAACCCATAGAACAGCTGAAAGAGAATGCCAGAGAGCATCCCCAGCTGGGAAAATGAGTATGGCAATGTAAGCAACACTTGAGCCACCTGCAGAAATAAAGAAGAAACAAATTTTGAATCTCTGTCACATGTGCAAAACCACTGTTTCATAGGTAACAACTTAGTGGAAAAAGCAAAAGATGACAAACCTGATTAGAAGCACAGCTAAACCAGGCATCATAAACAGAACCACCATGCCAAAAGATCTTAGAAATCCTGCTTTTCATACCCTTAGGCTTCCCTTCAGTTTCCATCTCCACATAATTCCCAACAATCACAGTCTCCACCACCTTATCAGTTGCCATTGATCTCCTTCCTATCCTTAAAAAATTTCCTCCCCTTTTTCCCTCTCACTTCCTCACAGCCTTCAGCTCTCTGTTTTCTGCTTACTAATTCCCTATTGTTTTCCCTCTAACCGCAAACTGGGTAGTGTCCTTTCAATGGAAGAAGAGGATTGGTAGATAACAGGAGTGAAGGTGAAGAAAAGAGAAGAGATATGGAGGGTATATATATACAAAGGGGTTCTCGAATGGTGGGAGAAAGGCTGTGTTTGAAAGGTATTTTAGAGAGAGCGGTAACATTGGGAAGCGAGTAAAATCCTATGGTTTTTGAGCCCTTTTTTCTTTTGTAATTAAAAATTTTGTTTTTTAGCTAATTATTATATTAGTCTAATCTTACTTTACTAACAAAATAAAATGAATTCATTAGAGAGCGTGAGTGGCTTGTCCGCACGAGCGGGTCTCCCCTCTTCCCGAGCTTTCTATTACGTTTGTCACTCTACCTAATCTAACCTTTATTTTTCATCATAACTCTTAACATGCCATTTTCCTCTTAATTTTTGCTAATTAATGTAAGAGACCAAGGGTTTTTCCTAAAGAGTGGGTACTTTATAATGATTTCAATGTATCCAAAAAAAAAACTTAATATGATAATTATACGAATTACTTTTAAAACACTCGTTAAGTTCATTTTTTTAAATACTTAAGAGTAATCATTTCTATACATTTGGAATTTCATATTCAAATTTATATTTCGAAAACATATTGACTAACTTTTCCCCAATTGACCAAAGATGCCATATTTAATTACTAGCCCTGCATTTGCATTTGTATTGTTTTTGTTAATTATGAACACAAATTATATTATGGTATTAACTTTTATCAATAAGTATTTGAATAAATTACTTTATTTTGTAAGATTTTATCTTAATTAATGTCAAATTCATTAATATTTAAAATAAAAATTTTATTTGAAAATAATATATTTTGTAACATATATAAGTATTTTACCCCATCGTTTGCTCAATTTTTATAACTTTTTATGATTGAATGTGAAAATTTGTGAAGGGTTACTATGGCCAAAAGAAGAAAGCCAAATGTGGAATAAAATTGCAGAAGAAGAAGGCACATAGGGGGGAGACAAAATAATAATAATAATAATAAATGGAAATGGTAATAGCGAGGGAAGGAGCGAAGGGAAATAATAACAGAGTAGACCGCATGATTGCAGCCAAACGGGCGTGGTCGCTTTACAACAAGAAGAAAGCTGCTTTTATCACATGGCCATGGCTTTGTGGACTCGAGAATCCCTCCCCCCACCTCTAAGCCCAAACCCCAAAATTCCTTCTTCACAAATTCACATGGTAGTTATATTACTAGTATATTGTCAAGATATTCTTACCAACAAATTACTCTATATTATCTATAGCTTGCACTGAGGACATATATATATGACCAATACAGCAACTGTCCATCCCAGACTTGTTAGATCATGATTCATGTGCCCTTGGAAATACCATATCTTTCTTTTATTATCTGTTTTTGATATTTAATTCTACTTAATACCCTTTAATCTTAATTATTTTAATATAATGTGGAGTGGTTTTTATCTTTTAGCATGCTTATTTATTTATTTTGATAGGTACGGTTAAGAAGATACAAACATTCTCTCTTTTGGATTAAAGTGAATTGGAACTTAATTCCCGTCATCTTCAGCCATATCATCGTAATGTTGATGATAGTGGGCATAGAAGAGAGTAATGTTGTTGGAATTTTTGCTTTGAGATCATTGATGCTTGGCTTTGAACCAGACTGCTATAAAAAAAAAAAGGATTGGAAACAGGGGGAAAAAGTCAGGTTGGGGGAAAAGGTCTGGAAGTAAACTGATAAAAGGAAAAAACTACTGTGTGTATGATGATATTAACATGTATTTTTGGCTTGCGAGTAATAATAACCAAGTGTGCCTATTGCCATTATACCTACAAAATATCAAACTTCAAGGTGTCAGAAGAAAAAACAAAGGGACCCCAAGAGCAAGAATATTGAATTTTCCCTTGTGCAATTACTCTTAACAATCAGTCTTTTAAACTTTTTCTTGGCCCTGGTTTTCTTCTTGTTGAATTCGAACAACTAACCCAGAGAGATTATTGATTATCTCTCAAGCTATGATGTTAAAACATAATGAGTTTGTCTTTCTATAAATTAGTTATAAAAAGAAAAACCCTTCAAAGTTGTGTTGATATCATTAATGAAAACAAGAATTTCTAGGTCTCTGAAGAGGACAAAAAAAAAAAGAAAGCTTTTGTTTTGGTGCAGGGCAACATATTCATGGGCCCTGTTGGGCAGCACAGCCATTCCCTGCTAGATCGTGCTTTACAGCCACAGGGACCAGGAACATTCCCTCTGGAACCGGTCTCCTTGACCAGCTATAGTTAAGAGCATAGCACCAAATTGCTGCCTGCTGCTTGCTCTTTGTAACATAATCTTTGCCCTTCATCAATTTTCCATCAGGTTTCTTTCATTTATTTATCCATTTGGACTAATAATTAGAAGAATAAAAGGTTCTTCTTTTTCCTTTTTTTTCATCTCCGACTTCAGTTTGAAGTGAACTAGTTGTTAACAAAAGGTTTTGACGAGTGGATCACTGGGTTTGCTGCGAGTATTTCTGAAAGCAAATTTCAGTGGATAGTGACAGTCTCTCAGACAGAGTGATTCCTAGCACAAAATTTTGCAGACAACATTAGGGATAGTGCTAATTCATTGAAATGGTATGATAATGTTGATGAGACTCGACAGGGCATGCTAATTGTGCTGGAATTTGTCTTTTGGGTGCTGTACAAAGGTAAAATCATTCAATTCTTTGGTGATAATTCTGATTAACAAAAGGAAGAGAGACCTCCCACAAATGTTCAATTTCATGTCATCCTTGCTGTGAGTACACAGAGACAGAAGCACCGTTAATAATGCAGCATGAGAATTAATTCCAGCACGCCAGGCTACAGGCAAGGCAGGTCGAATTTGAATGCAACTTTAACAAAAATCATAAGTCAAAGCCTATGATGAACAATAATTCCCACAAATTATTGTTGAAATTTAATTGAGGGGTGCATAGAAAAATAAAATCTGTGTTTTCTGTCTTTTACAGCAGAAGACTAACATTAAATCATGATGCTGCTCATCAATGATATGTGTTCATATGTTCTGCTCTTTCAATGATGTGAAGCCAAAATCAAGACAACGCGTCTTGCTTTAAAAGAAACACCATTCAATGTGTCGTTGACGAGACAAAATTTATGCCCAAATTTAGTGAAAGATTTGATTAACAATGTTTTAAACTTTTACTCATGGTTCTTCTTCAGCAATGATTAAGGCTCCCAATGAGTCAAACTTCAGCCATTTCCTTCTCTGTGTGTCTTTCTCTCTCTCTCTGGGTCTTTTTGGGTGTTGATCAGAGAAGCATCTTTGCTTTGAGGTACATAAAGGAATAAATTTGGAATTGGGAACACTGCATTGACTTGGTGGTGTTGCAAAATGGATTCAATTTGTATGTCAACTCCATTAAGAGAAACTTGGGTCAGAACCTTCAATTTTCTAAACGAGTTATAATTGGAGTGACGGCCATTTATCAACAAACAACATGATGTTGGCTTTTCCTTTATGGCCTCCACTTTGGAAACAAATTCTAGGACTAAAAGAATCCTATATACTGAAAGAAAAATTTGTCATTGCCACCTTTTTTGTTCTTGTGTTACACAACTAAAGCTGGCATTTTTGGGGCCATCTCAAAGCACAAGAAAGCATTTCAATATGTTCTTTTTGGTGTTTATTGCCATTTGAATTTGACCCTATCTGTTGCAAGACTTGTACTTAGCAAAGTTGTCTCCCTGAATTCTTGTTACTAAATTTTGGGTATCCATTGCTTGGTGAGAAACCTGCAAAAATCCTAGTATTATGGTACAAGAAATATGGACTCAAATCTACTAGAGAAACATTGACAAACATAAACATTTATGCAAATACCCAACATTGGCTCGTAGCACTAAATTGAAAACCATTTTTCTTCAGTTCATCTTAAATTGCTTTATGACAATCTTGAATTCTAGGTGTACAAATTTTGATCAATAAATAAGTGAAGAAATGTTCTTTAGCTAAGGCCCAAGGTTTTCCCAGTTCAAGTTATGGAGGCCCAAATTTGACTGTAAATGACCAAGACCACAACCTTTCCGAACAAAAGTCGAGCATTTGAACGGCTAAGATCAGCTGATTAACACAAACGAATAAAACACATTCTCTAACGTGGCTACAGGTGATTGAGTCAGAAAGCGTCTCACCATTTATAGCCATAGGTACGCGCTACGTTTTGTTCAGGAGCAAACTCGGTCTCCTTTTCTTGTCTGTCAGCAGTTCTGTCTTTAAACTCCTAGCATGCGAACTCCAAGTCCCTGTCACCGAGCAGTTTGAACAAAGGTACTTCCAAAAGAAACCAACCTTTGTTCTCTGTTTGTTGGCTGAGAAAATATGCCTAGTAACCAAGAAAAAAGCTGTGCTTTACACCTTCAACTGATGGTGCTTTATTTTTCTTTTTTTGCATGGAAATATTTCTTAGTTCTTATTTCTGGGTTTTCATAGTTAGCCTTCTGATAGCCAATGATATACACAAAGCTTTCTGCATATTTATGAGCAATTTGGATTGTATTGTTTCTGTTATTAAAGTCTGGTTTAGATTATATTGATTGCTGAGCTTATCTTAGAGGATGGGGGCAGACAGCTCTCACAATGTCTTATTTTTTAAGATTTTTTCAATCTTTAGGAAACTGGTGGCTGATTGGAAGATCTTGGAATTTAAGTTACAATGCTGGTGGGCATCTGAGAAATTAATATAGGTTGTAATCTGTGATTCATTAGCTTCTTCACGCCTTGTTTCATAGCAAGTAGTATGATACTGATGAAACCTCATAATTATCTAAGTCAAACAGGGTTTCATTTGGATGAGCTTGAAGTTGGAACTTTGTTTTTAAGTTTGTTGCTATCTTAGTCAAC